ATAGTGGGGGGGGGGGCAGCTGGCTACCCTGCGTCCCTGAGCAGGAAGCAGAGAGATGAATGCTACTGCTTAGTTTCCATTTTTATTCAGATGGGACCCCAGCCCATGGGACAGTGCCACACCCATTCAGGGAAGGTCTCCCCTCCTCAGTCAAATCTTTCCCGAAATACCCTCATAGACACTCCCAGAGGGGCAGCTTCTAAGTGGTTCCAAATCCAGTCAAGTTGACAACGAAGATGAACCATCATAGCAGTAATATCAGCACAACACTAGAAGTTTGTAATAAGTGCACATCGCATAGGAGCAAATAAATGCCCATACTTGGGCAGGTGCATCAAGACAATGGTCTTGAGACAGCTGGTACACCCCAGGCCTGTGGTAGGCTGGAGTTGGGCCTGAGTTGAGCCCAAGTATGCTGAATCACACTTTGGCAGACTTTGCTCCAGTGCAAGCAGGGCAAAGCATGCTGCGTGGGTGTGAGCTCAGCTATTCCTCACAAGCACAGCAGTGGGGGTTCCAGAGAGAAACGAGAGACTAGGAAACCAAATGACACACTCCTATCTTCCCCCTTGAATGCCAGCTATGTGAGGTGTCAGGGCACCTGGCTAAGCATTTTGGGGGAAGGAAAGGGGCATGCAGGATAGCGAGGATGCAGCTGGTGCCAGGGAAAGTCTTTCACGAGATCAACAGTAATAATAGCAACATGTGTTGTCATTTAGTGAACATCTGCTACTGGTCAGCATCTATGCTAAACAGTGTCATTAACTGGCCATGTACACCTGTATCCCAGCACTGGGGAGGCTGAGGCAGAAGGGTCAAGAGTTCTAGGTCAGCCAAGGCTATATAGTGAGAGCCTGACTCAAAATTCAAGAAAAAATAATATAAGCAAATGATTTCATTTAGTGTCTTGCAGGTAGGTGCTCTTTATCATTCATGAGACAGAGGAAGAAACTGAGACTCAGCCAGGCAAAGTAGCTTGCTGAAGAACACACAAAATGGAAGAGAGAAAGATTTTTTTTTTTTTTTAGAAATAGAAAATTTCAGGCTGGGGACATGTCTCAGTGGGTAAAGCGCTTGCTGCTCAAGCATGAGGACTTGAGCTTGGATCCCCAGCACCCATGTAAAATGCTGGGTGTAGCTGTGTTTATGTATAATCCCAGCTATGGGGAGAGGAGGAAAGAGAAGGATCCTGGGGACGCACTGGCCAGCTAGTCTAGCAGAACTGGTGAGTTCCACATTCAGTGAGACACACTGTCTCAAAAACTAAGCTAAAGAGCAATTGAGGAAGACACTTGGTGTCAAGACACTTGGTGGAGACCTCTGGCCTCCACATGCATGCACACGTATGCACATACTCACAAAAACACATACATACACACACACACACACACACACAATAGAAAGAAAAAGAAATAGGTATCCTCCCTGAGTGCAGTGACGTCCCATGTGCACCTGTGGGTTTTAAAACATTTGAGACTGAGCAAACCACACAGCAGAGCTAGGCACAGAGAGAAGATGGCAGTTGTGACACCCACCACTCATTGTATGACCCTTTTTCAGATCCCCCCTTCAACCCTGGGGGCAGCCTGAGAGATCATGATGTCTTTGAGGTCTGAGACAGGACCTCAGTAAACCCTAGCTCATAGTGCCCATCTCCTGGAGGTGCCTCCTCATCTCTGCGCAATTTTTTCTGCTGCAGAAATGAGGGAGTCTTGTTCAGTCTTCAGATGTACAGCAGAAACCAGAAATCTGGCCTTACACCTAAAATCTCCTGATTTTTAGACCCTGACACCTATTTGTTCTGTATTTATCGTGTTTGCATGCGTATGTGTGTTCTGTATTAATTGTGTGCCATGGTGTGCATGTGACAGTCGGGACAACTTGCAAGAATCAGTTCTCTCCTTCCACCATGTGGGGCCCAGGGATTGAACCCAGGTCATCATGCTTGGCAGCAGGAACCTTTATCCATGAAACCATCTCACTGGCCCTGTTTTTGTTTTCATTTCAGGACATTGTGGATCAAACAATTTACCTCCATGGCTAGGAGCCTCCGTGCTCAACCCTGGCTTGCATTTTGATCCTTTGATGTGTATTTGCTCTGATGGGACCAAGATGCTTTCTGGGATGCCAGGCTCTGCATGATCCTGTCTTACAAAGCAGAAACTGAGGCTCAGAGAGAGATGAGGTCACATGACTCCAAGCAAGCCTGGGAGCTCAGGTGGCTCTGGGGGGGTCTGCAGAGGGCTAGAGGGCTGCTTTGCACTCAGCTGTCATTCTGATTGTGTCCAGTGATGCAGAGGATTGGGGAGAGAGGAAGGAAGGGGCAGGGAATGGGACCAAAGTCTCAGCTCCTGGAGGCCCTGCCTGAACCTGGGAGAGTCATCGGATCCAAGCCCCTGCGGGAGCACCAGGTTGCTCCACTCTAGCAGGAGGTGGTTTTCTCTGCATGCAGCATGCAGAGGTGGAGGCTGTGGGCTGTGGCCTCCCTGGCCGTCCTAACTGCACAGGCCTTTCCACACACTGACATCAGTATCCACTCAGGGAAGCACGAGGCCAGCTAGGGCCCATTAGTGAGGTTGCTGAAGGGCTGAGTTGAGTCTCCTGATAGCTCACCCCCCAATGGGGGAGCATTCTCCTGGTCCCAGACCCTTTAAGCTTAATGCCCAGCTTTGCAGTTTACAAGATATGTGACCTAGGCAAGTTTCCTTCCTTCCTTCCTTCCTTCCTTCCTTCCTTCCTTCCTTCCTTCCTTCCTT